GGATCAAAATGCCATCAAGAAATGAGAAAGTTAAAAGACCTTTTCTTTATGATTTTCAATGTTTGCACCTGGTATTCAAAGTACATGCAACACTGTCATCAGAATTACAGTCAGAAAAACAGATGTTGATTGTGAGAAGGAAAGGCAGTGCTTCATAAGCCACTTTTTGATCATAAAGTACAAAAGAAATTAGTTTCTCTGATCAACTGATCAGTTTTGACCATGAAGCCAAAAGCAGGAAACTGCATCATTGATTTTATTGTGTGAATTTATAAACCTTTTAGTGCTATATAAAATAACTGCTCCATCTGCTCTAAAGACTTGGAACTTGTGTTTCTATCTATTGTAAATAAAGCACCTTAGAAATCCATCTGATGCACAATAGCATAGGAAACGGAGGTGATGAGAATAGTACCTAGTGTTCCTATCAGCCAACACTGCAAAATTTAGTTTGAGACTTTATCTGTAATTACAGTTACTTGTTCTCATCTCAGTGAGTAACTGCAAACACAACACAGTCTGAGAACAGCAAAGTTATGTTTTGTCTCTTTTCCCATTCCAAAGAATTGGAAAAAAAATTAAGCAGTTATAAACTAAAAATGCACAAAATGTTTCCCTTACACATTCAAAAGCTTGCAGGAAGTGATGCTTAACACAATTAGATTTAGCCTTTGACAAGTGTCTTCTGGAGGTGTCACTGGGTTCTGCACAATGGTCAGAAACCAGTAGTCTGGTGCCAGGAACTCTCAGTCTCCTAAATCCATAATTTGTCATTTGGCTCCAGTTTCTCTTTTGCTTAGGTTCATCAATTCTCTCTCTGCATTTTTCTATAGAAGCAGCGTACAAGGTGGGGAAGTGCTTTGTTCTGGTATTGCAAGTCAGGCAGTGAGGGTTGGGCACTGTCCATCTTAGCTGCAGCCAACTCCTGTTTGCCATATCACACCTCAGATGCACCACAGCCTTACAGCAAAACAGGCCATATTTTTGCAATTGCCCCCTAGGCCAGCATCGTACTTCAGTGGACTTATTTTTGCCACCACATGTGGTTTCTCAGACATAATATTTTCTTTTCTTTCTAACGGTAAATTTAACAGGTTTCTCTACAGACTAATTTTTATCCAGTACTGATTTCCCCTGAAGGGCTAGAATTTTACCTAATACACTGACATACAATCAGCATAACCACTGCAAGTAGAACTCTGCCAACACCACTTGAAAGCATACTGTGCAAAATCATAATGTGGTGAAAAAAAGAACACCTTTACAACTCCAATCACATTCTCCAGATAGCCACATTTATAGCACAATGTGCGAATAAGGGCACAGATTTACCAGGCAGTTTTAAGAAAACACATTAACAGAAAAAGCTTAAAGTGGAGTGGTGGCTTTTATTTATAATGGCGATTTTCTTCTGTGAAGAGTTCTAATGTGTTTTTCAGTTGATTTTTGCAAACCCTCGTGGATTACTCAGTCCAGTACTAAAGCAGAAACGAACACTTCCTTACATAATTATATTTCTCTTTTGCTAATAATATCTAAAATTCAACACACTGCAAATATTTGAAATGCATCAATCCTATCTGAAAAACCAATTTATTTTATCAAGCCCAAAATATCTAAGGAAAGTGTTAGTCACTTTTTCTACAGAATTTCATGCACTGCAAGAAACAGATTGTACTTATCATATTATCAAAAACTTACTGTCAGTTTACAAATATATTAGGCAGGAGTATTTCTCATGTAAAGAAACATTTTGAGTTCAAATCTCAAGAGTTAAAAGGGAACTCTAACACTTTACAACACAGCTCTCTCTCCTTTCAGAAGTCTGAAGACCAAATACCAGGTATTGTCCAGTGTCTTCCTTACTTGCTTAATCAACTTTCCTACCACCTTTTATACATATAGACTTGTGTCACTGCATACATACAGTATGACAACTTACAGAAAAACATACAAGCCTGATTAATTTTTTCTCATAACAACAAAGTCTAAAAGTATAGCTAGCCATTAACAATTAGATTATGAGAGGAGACTTGCATGAGAAATGCTTCATCCTGAGACCTCTGTAGAATGACCTAAAATACAGCATATGGAAGTATCCTCCAACTGCCTTCCTCCTATGAAGCCTTTTACTGCTCCTTTTTCCATATTTTTTCAGATATTCCAGCTTGTCCAGCCCCCTAGGCCACCTGAATCTTAGTTCTCACTACCTGTTCCTTCTTTCCTTGCACAGCTACCATTCACAACAGCTCCCTTACGTTACTTCAACAGAATCTCACCTTCCAATTGTCAGCTTTCACTAGACTCTATTCTCCTCAAAATTCTCTGCTTTAACCTGTTAGTCCCTCCAATATTTAGCCCTAGTGTACCCATCAGATCTAGGTTTCAGCCATATGCTCACCTTTGTTGATGGCAGTAGCCTTAGCTCAACCTTTCTCAAAAGGTAACTCTCCACCTTAGTGTGGACAGTAAACCCCTGAAAGGCAAGAACCTGACCAAACGTAAGGACTGCCCCTGGCTGAGCAGGAACCAGCATGGCACTGTCTCCTTCACTCCAGCTGCCACCCTCCAGTAGTACCTTGATTTTCAGACGGTTAAACTTCCATTAGGCTTTAAAACACTTGGCATAACAAGGCTATAACAAGGAGTTCATAGTCCTTTCAAAGCTACCACTGCTGTGTGAATCCTAAATAATGGCAGTTCGAATGAGGTAGTTTATGGAACATATGTCCTGGTGCTGCTCAAGTAGTCTCTATCACAGAAGGTGAAGCGAGAAGCTAATGTTTGAGTTCAGGTTTATAACCCCCATCACAGGTAGGCAATAGGAGCACATTTAGAAGTGACCTCCGTTTACAAGATGGTCCATCTTTGAGACCATGTAGAGAAAATGCCTGGCAGGTAGTGAGATAAAACCTTTATGCCCATGTGAATAAGCATGTATGTATATATACCTATTTATGTTATGGCAACTCCACACTTTTCTTCATGCTGTTTGCATCTTCATGTGCACTGGAATCAATCAGCTTCAGTACCAGTAGTTCTTAGTTTTTATCTCCCAGCATTTTCTAAAAGGCTCCTGGTGACTTACATAAATAAAAGCAGCTTTTTACAGGAACAGATTTATAACTTTAATAAGACTGCCCTCCTTCCTGCATTAAAGTCTACAGTACATGACAAATCACGTTAAGCAAGCTGGTATCAAATCTGAAGCCAAATGCATTTTTGAGCCAAATCTTAATTCTCTGAAGAGCTTCAAGCATATTTTGAAGATGCTAAATTATTGATAAGGAAAATCAATTCTTTTTCCAGCTCAAACAATGTCAAACAGTCACAGTATATGCAATAGCCAAGGCAGATTTTCTGTTGTTTTTTTTACTTTATGACCCTTTCAAATTAAATTACCTACTTTTTTCCTCTTTAGAATCCAGGTAAAAAGTCACTACTGACAGCTTAACAACTTCTGTTTGCTTCAGATAAGAATAAAAGATTTGTCTGAAAACAGACTGTCAGAAACAGACAAGAAAACCAGCATACTCCTAAGTTTATTTATTAAACTCTTATTGTTCCACCATTATCATTAAACCTGGACACTTCAGCAAATAAACTGCAATATGTTCTGATCTGATCATTAACAGCTTCCTCAAAGGGTCTGAAATAATAAAACATGTTCCATCCAGGAAGGCAACAAAACAGCAAACAATCCTGGAAGAAAAGTTGGCAGACAGCAACAATAGCTCTTTGCAAACCTTTCCAAATTAAAAAATTAGTAGTATCTACATATATACTTAGTTATTTCCGTCCCAGTGATTTTACTCAGCATCTATCTCCTAGCTTTTCCAGAGAAAATTTTGAGCACAACAGTGGATATGGTGATGGAAGCATTTTTTAAAGTACCACAACCATTATAGTACAAGATACAAAATGTTACCAATCTTTCCTGTTCTGAAGTAGAACAGCAGCAGTGAGTAAGCAATTATTTACCAAGGATCAACAACCACTCTCATTCCCTATCCCAGGAACATCCTAACAATCCGTTTTAGGACCTAATGATATCATAAATAGAGATTTTTATACTGAAGATATCCAGTTTAGTAAAAAATAGGCAAGTATCTGACAGAGGGAAAACTGACTCTCCAGGTTAGTTAGTTACTATGCTTCTCCCACTGGATCCCTCAGATTATACCCCATTGTACTGCTATACACAGAACAACAGCCTTAACAGAGAAAAATTAATAGCTGTGTGCACACAAACAAAAATATCTTTTGTCCCCTAAATATCCCACCAGTTAACCCACCCTCCAAGATGCCTCTGCCAAAAGCAAAAAATTGGTTCCTAGTTCTTAGATGAGTGTCCCCAGAACAGCAGATTATTTTCTGTAAATTATGTGAGCCAGCAACACTACAGTGCCCAAAATGTTCCCAAATGACACCATTTAGCAAAAAGAGTGCGGCTGCAATTAACTACTAAACAAGCAAATGCATATTTTTGATGACTAAAGCATCTCTAAGAAAATCCCTTCTAAGTTCTAATACGAAACACGCGATAGTGATAAACGCCTGTTTTTCAATCAGCCACAATTCAAATGTGCGATGGCAAATATCCAGACAGGAAAACTATCTGAAAAACATACAAAATAGGCCCTCAAAATAGTGTGGAATGAATTCCTTTGTTTTAAGTAACTCTCTCTAAGCTTTGAATTTCACTACACTGTTGCTGCTCTAATTAAATGAGAAATCTGCTGTGGCAGGAAGCTCACCTAAGTGCTCTAGAGCGAGCTCACACGTCTAGGCAAAACACAGCCACTTGCGGAGGGTAAATAACAGATGTTGTTTTTCCTTCTGCTCCTTACTTAACTACTACTGCACCTGCCGCCTCTCTACCCGTGGAGCCCCACAGCTCCCGGCAGGGTTCGGGAGCAATGGGCAGCGCGGCTGGTGTCCCGCAGCCCCTCCCCGTACACCGGCGCCCGTGCCCGGCCAGGCTCCCGGCCCGTGGCAGAGGCGCCGCCGCCCATCGCCCCCCAGGGCCGCGCCCTNTGTTCCTCGCCGAGGCCTTCGGGAAGCTGCTCTTCGTGGCCGGGGACCTGGCGGTTGCCGTCGTGGCCTACCGGGCCCTGCGGCTCCGGGGGACCCCCGCCGGCCGCGCCTGTGGCTGCTGCGCCGCCGCCTGGCTCCTCAACCCCCTGCCCATGGCCGTGTCCAGCCGGGGCAACGCGGAGGCGCTGGTGGCGCTGCTGGTGCTCGCCACCCTGTACTGGGTGGAGGCGGGCAGCGTGGGCAAGGCCGCCGTGTGCTACGGGCTGGCCGTGCACATGAAAATCTATCCCCTGAGCTACGCGCTGCCCATAGCGCTCCGCCTGAGCAGCGGGCCGGGCCGCGGGCAAGGGGCGCTGCGTGCGCGGGGTGACCAGACGGCGAAGGTCGCGTTTATGGCGCGCCTCTGGCACCTCTTTGGAAAGGTGCCGAACCGCGACGTGCTACTCTTTGGAACAGCTGCCGGATCGGTGCTGGCTGCCTTGACTGTGGCATTTTATCGCCTCTATGGCTGGGAGTTTTTGGAGCATGCCTACCTCTATCACCTGACTAGGAGGGATATCCGTCATAACTTCTCTCCGTATTTCTACATGTTGTACTTGACAGCAGAGAGCAAATGGAGTTTTGCCCTTGGGCTCGCAGCTTTCCTGCCCCAGCTGCTTTTGCTCCTGGTGGTGTCCATAGCGTTCTACAGAGACCTCGCCTTCAGCTGTTTCTTACACACCGCTATTTTTGTGACTTTTAACAAAGTATGCACATCCCAGTACTTTGTCTGGTATCTCTGCCTTTTGCCCCTCGTAATGCCAAGCATTAAGATGTCTTGGCGGCGGGGCGTGCTGCTTCTCTTTCTGTGGTTCATCGGACAAGGCCTATGGCTTACTCCTGCATACTTTTTGGAGTTCAAAGGATATAACACTTTCTTATTTATATGGTTGGCAGGCTTGCTTTTCCTTTTAATTAATAGCCTCATAATTGTTCAGATTATTTCACATTATCAAAAAGAAGCACAAGTGGCAAAAATACTGAAACAACAGTAATAAATATTTAATAAGTAAAAATTACTACCAATAAATAACACTATTTAATATTGTTATAATTTAATTTACCTAAATCCAGAAACAGCCCTACTGTTCCTGACAAGGCATCAGGTATCACCAGTACTTCATTTAAAGAAAGTGTAAGCAAGTTGTACTTAAAGCACATTGTGTGTAAATGTTGCTGTTTCAGGGCCGTGAGAGTGCTGATTTGCCTCAGTTACCCTGAGCAGCCCCAGTCGTGCCCCGAGCAGTGTCTCCCCTGTGGGTCTTGAAACTTGGTTGCAGCCCTTCAGCACTGCTTCCCACTCTGTCCTCCTCCTGGCTGGAATCTCTGGAAGTACCCTGGCCCAGTTCATCACTTAACCGTGTTTGGGGCTCTGATGAATGGGCTCTACCCATCTGCACTGACTTGTCTTCACCTGCCGTCTCCAGAGACAGTGTGACTGTGGCCTGCTCCTTGACCCCACCCTCAGTTCCTGCTCGTACTCCCTCATGAAGTAGCCCTGGCATCTTTTTTCTCATTCTCAGTGTTAGTCTGCTTGTTGAGGGCCTTGGCTTTTATCTAGAATAACAGAAAATTATAAAGGTGGAGTTTGATTATAAAATTGGAGTTTGACAGTTTTGTACATTCCAGTATGTAAGTGGAGTGTTTGGCAAGGTAATTGTTCAACATTTACAGTGGGGTTTATTTTTCCTTTTGTTTCCACAATAGCATTTTAGCTATGCACTGTTAGTGACTTTCACATCATTAACTCTTTGAGATTTTTAATTTATTTTAGAATCCAGATATACCACTCTTTAACTTACTATGTCATATTCTGCTCTCTTCAAATTTTTGAATAGATTTATTCCCTTGACATGGAGGAAGATTGTTCCATATATCTGTCTGGGATCACAGAGATGTAAAAAGCTTAAATATTTGTTTCTTCTTGACAGGTTCTAGAAAAGAGGCCACTGCCTTAAATTTCAGTTAATATATGGTTAATGTGGGTGTTAATAGTAGGAAATACAAAGTCAAAATACAGTTAGAATGGCACCTGTGTCCCAAAAGCATTAGAGTTTATACCGAAACAGTAATTGGAAATGACGCTTCTCAGTATTTCTATTTCTCTGCTATTAAAAAGAAATGAAAAAAAATGAAAGGAGTTGAGGAAATTGGGCTGTTGCTAGACGAAAAGGGAAGTTTTGAAATAGGAAGCTCTACAACTTGTCAAAACACATTTATTCCCATAGGAGACTCAGGAAGATTTGGAATTGAGTTCCAGGTGATAGTGGGAGGAGAGCAGAGCCATTTTGGAATCAATACTCTCAAGAACATCCAATAAGAGGTCTGATGTACACAGCTTTTGACAGAGGTGGAAAATGACAATGTATTTTAGTAAAATCTAGTTTCAGTAGGCATATGCCAAATAAAATAATTTCCATATTTGCCTCACCTTTTAGCTACATCCCATGTGAAAGTGAAAACCGTAGTGTGTAACCTAGAGCAGGGCTTCAAGGCAAAATAGCTTCAGCCACTGGGTAGAATTCCCGGTGATGTCACTGGGAAAGGGTATGGCCAAGTGGATTTGCCATGCTGCCTCTGAACCCTGGTGTCTCCTGAGGCAGCCCTCTTCCTCAGCTGCCTCACATACAGGATGTCCTTTCCTGCTTGCACTGCTCCCTCATGAGGTGGAATTACAGGTTTTTCATCTGTGAACTTTTCCCATTGCTTCTCAGCCCCGTTGAGGTGGTTACATGAAAGGAAAGGAAACCCTGGAGTCCCCACAGCTCAGAACCAAAGAGCATGTTACCAGGAGGTGTGACCATGTCCTTATACCACTCTGGCCAAATTTAGACATTCTGATGTGTTAGAAGGACAATTTCCCTGTGATTTCTGTGGTCAGAGTATTGGGGGGTGTTTCTGCTCTCCCACTGGGAAGTTTTTCTCTGCCATCTGCCTTCTCACTTGCCTTCAAGCTGTGAAAATCCTGACAGCCTCTTTGCAAATCCAGAAATTGAATAAGGCAATGGATATTCTTTTGGCTGTCTTGGTTTTTTGGGGCAGACATGGCACTAATTTCCTTCTTTTTCTGGGATGAGGAGAGTTTTATAGCACCAGCTTGTCTACATCTTCCACTAGAAGTGTATCAGTCAAAAAACTGGCAGCAAAAGCCACTTGCACACAGTTTTATATTAATCAGCAAGACATTTTGTGTGTGCAGTGTGTGTGAAGCAAAATCATCCCATGTGGTTTTATTTCCAAGGCAGAGTTGGACATACCCAGCTTCAGCAGAATACTAAAGAGGGTCTTCTGCGTAATACTTCTGCTCACCCTGACCTGATGTCCAGGCAATGGCTCATTTTCCTGTGCAGCTGATCCTCCATTATCTGCTACACATTTTTCTGTTGCAAAAAGCTTGTTTTCTTTGCCCAGAGCAATGTTCTGTACCACTTTAACAGACCTATTTATGCTGTTTGCAGACGTTCCCACACCTCTATTTTTCCCTTCCTGTTGGCAAAGAAAGCAAATGCAAGCTGAAAGGCATTTCTAACCTCAAAACCTTCTACAAAAAACAGCATTTTTAAGTTACTGTATTCATGACAGAATTGTAATTTTTTTTAGGTAAGAAGTAATTTCCTTATGAAAAATACATTCCTAACTTGTTAATAGCTAAATCATTTTGAAAAGGCAAATTTTACAGCAATTCTGCATCATTTTTCAGAATACAAATTCTGAAGCAGCAACAGGAACTGAAGGGTACCTTCCCTTCACAGGTCAGTACCAGTCCTGCAGTGATGATTTGAGAAAGCCATGCATAGGAAAGTTATAAAAAGGCTAGTCATCATTTTAATAATCCAGGATGAGCCCCTCTTTTTACAGTTGTTTTCTAAATCACCCAAATGCGTTTGCAATTCAGAAATCAAGTGACTCATAAAATCTGAATAAGAGAAATAAACTGAAAGAGACAAACAAAAATATGTTTGAGAGTTTAGATCTTGCTTTTAAAAAAATTATTCCATATTTAAATGGCATTGAGTAACTTCATTCATTTAAAAAAAAGGTTAAAATAATTTAATGGAGTACCAAATAAGTTATAGTTCTTGAACAAGTTATAGTGAATAGTTATAATGTCCTTAAAATGTACCAAATTCATTTCCTGTGTAACATTTATTGCTTTTGATGCTGTTCACATTATTTTGCTTAATAACTTTGAGTCCATTTATCCTCTGGCAATTAGGAGCTGAACTGTCTGAATGTTAGTGTTCCTTCCTTACCATGGGTTGCAAAACTGTAATGCTGAATACTTTGCTTTTAAGAGGTTGAAATGCCCATTGAAATATATCTCACATGCACAAATTTTTCACACTGCACTGAAACCAGCCCTTAAGCTGGTTTAAGAAAGAACAAGAGGTGAAAGGGAAAAGAAGAATCAAGAAAAGTAATATTTCTGCCTTAATTTTTACACTGTAGCCTATTGTCCAAAGACTCGTGATTGGATTCTCAAATGACTTCAAGCAAAGCTCAGCATTTAACAATGATTTGCTTTAAAGTTTATAAATGCAATTATTAAAAAAGCAGGGTAAGCAAAAATATAATAATAAATATTTCATTCAGTTTTATTATGAGAATGCTGAATTACTATCTGTGGCACAATGTACTTTTTCCTTATTAAGGAACTTCTTTGTGTGTGTGTCACTTGCATTGTATTGACTCCTGTAATAGTAAAGAAATCAAGTAGGTGTGCTAAACTGAGCTCATCAGTTGTGAGTTATGATGGTTTCCTTTTCAAAGAAACCATGAGATTTCTACATTTAACAGCAAGGGGAAGCTCCAACATTTTTCGTAATGTTGTATAAAGTAAATGTTAAAAGAGAGTACGTTATGAGCAAATGGTTTGCTTTTTTTATCTTAAGAAGAATGAGTCATCTACTTCAAAAGGGCTGCAGAAATACATAGCGAACACAGGGAACCTCAAAATATATGAGGTATTCATCATATATTTGCCGAAGACAGCTGCAGAATGTATGTCCTAGTGATAGCAGCTTTATGGAATAAGATTACCCTGAATTTAGGACAAACCCTTTACTCAGACTGAAATCAAACACCTCAAGCAATTTTCTTGCTTAAGAGCGTATTTATGTGCACTATACTTACAAGCCCAAACATTTACCTGCACATACGGAATCAAAAAGAAAATCCCAGTCAATACACCTTTGAATAACATTTTTCAGAGCTACCCTCTGTAAAACAGGTTCCTTAGATATTTCTTATGTTTAGCACTAAGAATCTCTAGTGGCTCTGAAAATGAATTACATAAATTTTGTTGCATAAGGAAAATAAAATCATATGCTGTAGGGATCTTGTGGTGTAATAGACATAATAAAGAACCAGCTAATTATGTATTTCAAGGTGCACATTCCACTGGTAGATGCTCTTTATTATAAAAATCTGCACTAGTCACATATGTGTAGGATCATTGTTTCAGTCTTTATGCATGATGAATGAGGTCAGAGAGCTACATTTTGTACTAGTGAAAGTATGAGAAATGAAAAGAAATGAGAAATAAAAATGTCTATTTATGCAGTACCATTGTTTTGAGGCTTTTTTCAGATTATATTTCTTTTATGACAATAAATCGATACAATAAGTTCATGCAACTGTTACATGCATTTTTAACAGCTGGAATGTCTCTTTTTCTTTAGTATGGTGAAGAAGACGAAAACCTGTCATTTTTCAATGGTGTAAGTTTATAGTACTTTGAGCAGAATTCCTCATGAGCCCTTTCTGGTACATGCTGAGAAGGGTAGGGTCGCTGCAGAAGAGGTTCCTTATTGGGCTGCAGTCTTACTTCATGTGTAGATAAAGCTTTAGCTGCAGTCTCATATTAGTCTTAGAGCTTAACTTTCAGATGTTAATGATCTCTTCAGATAAAACATTTCATAGCTTGCACATAAGGAAATTACACATAAGAGATCCTCCCTACTTTTCATGGAAATTGGTGGGGAAGCCAGCTAGAACATCTGTGGGAGAAATGTCGAAAGGAAATGCCTGTATCTGATTAGCTGCAAAGACAACTTCAGCCTTGGAAATCAGCTGAAATGCAGGCAAATTGAGCAGTAAGCCCATACTGTGAAATTCACATTATTTATATGAAGGGTATTGGATCAAAAGCGCTTTTCCATTTTACAGGAGGAAAATGGGATCTTGATAGCTATTGTCCAGGTGGATGAATGTAACTTTCCTTCCTTCACATTATCATAAGAGGGTCTATAGAATGTTATATGCTGCAGTAGCACTTGTGTAGTTGTACAGGTGTGACTCACATAGGCTATTCGGCAATATTGTTGGTGTAGCAAGCAGTTATTAGTAAGCAGTTACTCTGAAACTGCTTTTCAGAGGTTAACTCAAGTTAAAATCTGATTGCTGCTTCACAAGTCAGCAGCTGTGTTAATTGAGATGGTACTGTTTTGACAGTAATTTTCCAAGGAGGACTGCACTCTGTGGCCCATATGCTCCCACTCTGTGCAAAAGAACATTAATTCAAATCCCCTGGTGATCTGACACTCAAGGTTTTTTTAATCTATCCCATGTCCCTCCTACTGATCCAATAGATTGAATTAGCCAGGAAGCCGGTTAGAAAACGAAGTGGAAAACAAAATATGATTATCCTCCCCTTATTTTCCACCCTGGATAGTGTGCATATATTGAATAATTATGATTACCTTTTGGAAGAACAGAGTCCCATTTGAGATAGGTGTTAGAGTACTTTGTTAATATGAAGTATTTCACCCAAATGCACCTAAGAGAAAATTGACTGTTTGGGCTACATGGACTTTTGTCAAATGATAATAAAGCTACTGATAATTTATGTCAGCTTCAATATTAGTACTATTTTGTCATCTCTTTCTGAGATACATGTGTGTGTGTGTGCGCGCGCATAAAACAGAGTAACTAAGAGTAGTGATGCTTGTTAAATTCTAGTTTAAAGCTTTCCTTACTCAAAGACTTTGGAGGACACATACAGCAATATACTCACTAAAAGAGAACAAATGCTGTATCAGAGAAAATTAATTAATAACTAGTTATGTTGTTCCCACAGCTGACACCCTCATGAAGAAAGTAGCACTTTTATTTATATACAGTCTGGAAATTCACATGAATAACAAGTGCTTCACCTTAAAGCAGTCAGATGTATTTGAAAATAGATTTTAATTACCATTAGCACTTCCAACTTTAGTGCTGGCATCAGCCAGCTTGTTAATTCCAGCAGTACAGGAACTGAAGTCATGACCAATTTTCTTTCATGCTCTAATAAACTGGCTGATTAGGTATAAGAAAGTTCATTGTTCAAAGTGAACCAAATGATTGTTCACTGGAAAGAAATACTGCATGGCCAGGACCAAAATTTTAATATGCAGGATGGAGCAAAGTGATCAAGAAACAGGGGCAAAAAGTGAGGCCCCAGAGACCTTGACTGTTGTCTTGCCTCTGCCACTAATTTATCATTAAGAAATGATTGCAGTTTGCTGGGCTGTTTGCCTTTGCCAGTTGTGATGGCTTGGTACATTTAATTGACACCTTATTTGAGCCACAATGTGTTCTAATCTATTTCTGTAACACACTGCCATAAGTGATTGCAGTCTTGTTTGAAACAATTATAAGTCTGGCTGGTAGCAAACTGTAAACACTTAACTAAAGACATTCTGATTACAAAATATTCAATTTCTTTTTTTTTTTTTTTTTTTTTGTATATATTTAAACTTTTCTTGTGGGATATGTGAGGCTTTCATGTGCATTCCAGCATTTCATTTTTTGGAGAGGGTGAATTACTGTTGAAGCTAAATGAAAATCTGGAAGAAGATAATGGAATTCATGGTAAAAATCCAGACAATTTAGGAAAATAATTTGAAAAATTATAGTGAGCTGATACCGTAATTAAATAAGATTTTATTATTACTGGGCTGCTTAGATTGCATTGGAAATTTATATTGAAAATGTATTGGGAAAATGAAACAGCAGACAACTCTGCAGCTGGTATAAATAGCTACCTCAGATGTGACAGATAATGGCGCAGGAACTGTTTCTCTATATTCATAAAAATATATATTATGCTGTTATCCAAGAAAAAAAGTCACTAATTTTGCAGCACTATGAAGGCAAATTACAATTCTGCATTCACATACAGGTGAAATGATTACTTTACCTGGATCTTTCTCCAAAGCTTTTGTTCAAAGAGGCACAGACTACGAAATTGAAATCTGGACCAGATGTGCTGTGCTAGAAGCAGTTACAGGGAGCTCTACATTTGCACCAGCCTTGTAGGCTTCCTGAACAAGTGCCTGCTGTGTGCTGGAGGCCACATCAGTGGTGAGAATGCACAAATGCAGATTTGCCCATACCGTGCCCAGAAGTGATTTCTCTGCAGTTCTTAAAGTACCCAGATGTTGCCTTAATCTATTTTATATCACTGTATACAGATATATATATATCCTCATAAATCTATGCACATCTTAAAGAGACATATATACCCTATATAACCATACCTATCCTCATCTGTAATACGGCAGCAGCAAATTCAGGGACTTCATGCCCACCCTGACTGGATAAACATCTGCTAAGGATAAAGGAAGAGGCCCTGTTTGTTTTACAGAGACTTGTCAGTCACGCCTGAGAGTGGAAGAGTAGATTTGCGTGGATTGAACTCCCTCTAGAAGGAAGGGGTGAAGTTCTTAGCTCTCCCCAAAAGACAATTTGGACTCTGCAGACTAATTACTAATGAAACCGGGGAATAAATCTTCTCCTAATATTGGAGACACAGGATAATGAGGGTGCTAAGTTTCATGGCTGCGGAACAACTGATGCAAATACATAGAAAAATATGTCAGGGGCTATTAAATACTAAAACTGTGTTCTCTGGTCTTGGGAATTCAACAAGCTGCAAATCATGGTGAGCTAGGGAAATATTTCTAGGCAAATCTCACCTCTATCTGGTTTTCCTCTGCATCTGTTGCTGGCCACATTTGGAAGATACTGGCCTGATCCATGAAGGTTGTTCACAGATCCTTAGCCACACAAGTGTCCCCAGCAGAGTACTCCTGTCACCAAATGTGCTCCATTACTTGGCTAGGCCCTTTATCTGACACACCAAGCTGTGTGTCACATAAATCCTCATTTATGGGCCTGGGTATCTGCTTGCTCTTTTCTTCCAGAGCAGATGCTACCAGAGTGTGCCAGTAAACCTGAACTGCATCTTGTTTCACTGGTATTTCACAGATGACAGCTAGCAACAGATTGATAGGTGAGAAGGGGAGAGAAGGGAAATCAAAGCTGACGAAACAGATCCGTGTGATCAAAAAGAGGTGTTTTTAGCTGGCCAGGTAATTAAAAAGCAGGTAAATTGAGACAGCTTATTAGGCCAGGTTAATGCAAGCACACCAAACCCCTGGAGTTTGGTTGCCTTCTCTCCCAAAAGGAAACCACAGCTTTTATGGGACTTCATATGTTTTCAATGTGGTGAAAAGAAAGTCGGGGAGTGTGAGGGAGAAACAGATAAATTGGCACAACTTCAGTTACCTGTACTAATGATGACTTGTGTAACTGCAAAATAAAATTAAGATCCTTAGCTGAAATTGTCTTCTGTTTTAATAATAGTTTAGCTCTGGAATGGTATGTACTGCTGTTTAGGATGATTAGCTTACCCTGTAGTTTTGGCTGAAGAAAATAAGTGCTTTTTTGTCAGAAAGTAAACCCTTTCTACAGACTACTGCAGTTGACAAGGCATACAGTTAAAGAGTTTGGCAGATTTGCCATCTAAAACATGATTTAAATAAAGAGGAAAAGGCAGCATTCCAAGCATAGCCAATGATGCCTGGCCTGGATTGACCCATGTTGAGAAATTGTTTTATCTCAGGAATTCAAGCCAGGCTGAAAATAGCTGGAAAATGTGCTGGAGAGACTGGAGGTCTGATCACACCTGGGCTTGTGGCAGCTGTCTTTGGTTGGTCCAGGCTCCTCAGAGACATTTCCTCCAGGTATTGTGCATGTTGCACTCCTCCCCTCTGTCTAACCTCAGCATGGTTTCTGCTGGCTCACAGGGAAAGCACCAGTCACATTTTAGCCACCTGCTCCCCATCAATTCCCTGTGAGAGCAATGAAGCATGCCATTGAAATGTAATTTGGACAAAAGGAATTTGCTTGTGTTCCCAGTGTTTTGAGTGTAAGAGTTAAAAGAAATTTCACCCTATGTGATATAGCTTGGAACTGCTCATAAATTACCTGTGTGACCACAGCCCTAAGGCAATTCTTTCCTGTGACACTACTCCCATCTAAGTCCTGTGTCTTACATCCAACAACTCCGTGTAGATGTGATCTGGAGGTCTTTGAACCTGGTAGCTGATGTTAAGCCAGTGCAAAAGATTGCCCTCTATTTCTCTGTCATTTGTTGGTTCTGATTTTACAGTGACCCCCTGAGAATTCAAAGAAAGCTGTTGAATACTTCCTTACAATCTGGAATAGATTACTGTTGGGAAAGTTTCTGCTTTTGTCTAAACCAGATTTGTTTGTTTAATTATTCTCACACTAGCACATTTTCTGCCATTTGCCTGCAGGCAGGCTACCTCTTGACAGAGCATGAGTGCTGCACTTGACTTTCATGACAATGGGAGCAGAGATTGTCCTGCACTTCTGAGAGCAGCCTCGACCTGTTTTTCACATTGAGGTTAGAAGCCCAGCAAGACACATCAAAGGTAAACAGTGGTGCCACAAGATGTATGGAAATGCCTTCTTTAAAGCCACTGGTTAAAGCTGAGATTTGCTGCACTTTTTTTCTCCTTGCTTCACACTCACATACTTTTGTCTTTGCCTATGCCTATGCAGAAAGAGAAGTTTTATTACAGATGCATTACAGACAATTTATAGTTCATGCAAAAATATATTTTTGCTACAATTCATCAAGGCTAAAACCACATTAATTTAGCATCCTGGAAAATTACAATTTGATCTTTAGTGTTGATTAGTAGCTGGCATTCTGTCTAAATAGGAGATGTCAGCTGGGGATTTAGCTGCTTGAAATTGGAGCATTCCTTGGACCTAAATTAAAGTGTATTTTCAAAAACTGACACAATTACTAAAACTAACACAATTACTTCTTGTCAAGCTAAGGTGCTAGAATTATTTCCAGTGCTCTGACTACAGGCCAAATCAAAACACTTCACAAAGGAATCATAATGCATTAGTCACTGAACCTGCGTAGTGTTTAGCAGCATAAAGGTCAAATATATTCATGAGAACATATAATCTTATGTGTGTTTGGTGAATGAATAAGGAAAAGGTATCTGTTAGAAAAGAGGAGGATCAGAATATTGTAAAAAAAATATGGCACACTTTTACATGGGTATTACAGGTGTTATTCCAATCACAGATGTCTGCAAAACGGTTTCAAGAACACTCATGAAAACTAAAGGATATACTTCAGCCATCAGAATTTAGATAGGTGCTATGCTGCCATATGGCATAGCTGTTTTCAGAGCAAATGCAAGGGTTTTTTTTTCCTTTTCTGAGAGAGCAGATGGCAAAGAGGTTGGTTTCTAGAAGCTGTCACACCTAGATAATCAGTATCAGTCAGTTGCATGGGACAGCAGGTAATTTTAATCTGGTAGTTTTTCAGTAGTTTATACAAATAATGCATGCAGTTATTTCCCAAACAAACACAAAAATATATGGTAAGATCCTTGTGATAAATTAAACATGATTTTGTGCAGTATTGATGAGTGACAATTTGATACACCAGAAATGTGAACTATCCCTTTTCACAAGAAGTGGTCCTTCTGTCTTCAGGGACTTACCAGTA